TCTTATTCAGTGGCTTTTTTTATCTTCTCCACTAGTTTTATATTGATTTCTCTTATGAACAATTTATTTAGGAGCAAGGTCAACATGTTTTCTTTTCCTTCTTCAGTGTCTAGATAATGTTGTCAAGTCAGGGGATCTGCTTGAGTCATTTTAGTTCCAGGGGTGTGTATTAATTTCAAATCAAACTGGGATAAGAATAGTCTCTATCATGCTTATTGTCTGGTGAGTTGTTATGGGCTTCAGAAATAGGTCAGATTGAGATGATCAGTTAACACAGTAGTAGGAAATGTAGATCCCTCAAGATAGTGCCTCCACATTTTTAGCCCTCTTACTACTCCCAATAGCTCCTGATTGTAGATATCATAATTCTTTTCTAGGGGAGAGAATGATTGTGAAATGTATCTACATAGGTGCCAATTACCATTTCTATCCAGTTGTTGAAGTACTGCTCCTGTGGCGACTAATAAGGTATCAGTTTCTAATACAAAGGGTTTCATTTTGTCAGGCATTTGTAATACCGGTTGTATTAGGAGTTTTCACTTGAGTTCTTCGAAAGCTTTTTGACATTCCTCTGTTCAGTTCCACAGTTTATTTTTCTTGGTTAGATTGACAAGTGGTCGAGATATATCAGAAAAATGTGATACAAATCTTCAATAGAAGTTGCAAAATCCAATGAATGATCTAACTTGTTTGACTGATTTTGGTGTTTTCCAATCTCTGATTCCATTGAGTTTGATTGGATCCATTTCTACTTTCCCAGATTTGATTACCATTCCAAAAAAATCTACCTATGGTTGGTTAAATAAATATTTTTTAGTTTTCAAGAATAGATTGTGGTTTCGCAACCTTTGTAATACCCTTTTTGTTTTTTCATGGTAGATTTTTATGTCATTGGAAAAGATGAGGAAATCATCCATATAGATTACTAGCCATTCTTCATCTATCATGTCCTTGAAGATATTATTCATTATTACCTGAAATGTTGCTGGAGAGTTGCATAAACTGAAAAACATTATGGTTGGTTCAAATAATCTATGATTGGTCTTGAATGCTGCTTTCCATTGGTCTCCATCGCAGATCAGAAGATTATTATACTCTAACTGAATGTCACCTTTGGAAAAGATGGTGGCTTCCTGTAATTTATCTAGGAGCTCAGATACTAATGGGATTGGATATTGGTTCTTGATTGTCCATTTATTGATATACTGATAATCCTGACATGGTCTAAATGTATGTGGGGATTTTGATAGTCTGATATAGCCTTTTCTAAGATTTTCTTCCAAGAATTTATCTAATGTCTCTTATTCTTTTAGAGATATCAGATATACTTTACAATCTTTTGGAATAAAATCTGCTTTTAGATCAATTGCATGATCATAGAGTTGGGATTCTAGTAATTATTCCGATATTGCCTTTTCGAAAACATCCGAGAAGTTCTGAAGAAATTCTGGAATCATTTCTTCTAGTTTCTTTTCGGATTCCTTTTCCTGTTGTTCTTGTACCATTTTTATTGCCAGGTTTACCTTCAACCGTATCCAAACTGATCTGAGTTTGAACTCCTTTTTGTCTTCAGAAATCCAATACTTATTGTACTGATGGAAATTGTCCACTGCTGGTGCTATGTCTACTAACATTGAAGTTCCTTTCTTTTCCATCAATGTTTGAGTTAGCCAAATTCACTTATTTTGTTCAATGTGTTTCTTAACATATTGCCTGAGATTTTTATTCTAGATTTCCTTTATTTATTCCTAATTTAAATAAACCTTTCCTTTCTCCTAATCTATTACCAGATTGAACTGTTTCAACCATGGGAGTCCGATGATCACTGATTCTTTTCCTATTCCAGTTTGAAACAGTTTTTGAGGAATAAGTGAATTGTCAATGTCAAGCGAATATAGTGTATAGTCAGTAATTCTTCCTTGATTGTTTTCTGTTCTGTCAGCATTGAATACTAAGATAGGTTTGTTCAAGGTTCAAGATGGAAGATCATATTTCTTTGCAAAGTCTTTATGAATAAAGATTTCTCCTGCTTCAGAGTTGATTAGAGCTTGAGTTTTGATAATTTTATCTCACGCTCATAATATAATAGGGATTCAAAATGACTGGTATTCAGTATTTGCTATTATTACAGAAGAGAGTGAGATTCCAAGCAATCCACATACCAGTGGTGGTCGCTTCTTTAAAAACCTAAGTCTTCGACATAGAATCCTGCATTATTGAATAGGTCTGCTGTCAAATCTTTCTCATCATCATTCATGGTCTGAATTATAGCTCTTATTGCAGCCAGTTTGTCTTGTATATTCCTTAGTTCTTCTTATTTTGGGGGTTCATCAGCTATTTCCTCTAATCTTGCTTCTACTTGTACTTCTCTTACCTATTAATTGTTATTCTATTTCTTCTTTTGGCAATCTTATGCCATATGCCCTTTGTCTCCACAGTAGAAGCACCTTCCTTTCTTTCTTTGCTTATCCCTTTCTTTCTGAGTCAATGCTTTTGCATTGACTCTATCAATATCTATTGCATTTGGATCTCATTGCCGAGGTTGTTGAGAAGAATTGGATGAGTAATTATTGTTGTAGAAACAGAAGGTATTTTCTTCTGTATGAAATGCTACTCGATGATTGTTATCAATAGTAGACATTCTCTTGATCCAGTCTGCCAGGTCTGCAGGTAGAGTTTCTATGTTGAGGCAAACTAGAAGTAAACTCTGATCAAGCCCTCATTTGAAAAGCTCAATCTTTATCAATTCTTCGGTGATTCCCATTCTGCTTAGTACATCTAAGAACCTTGATGCATAGCTATCTGTGGATGCTCTTCCTTGTTTGAGATTATAGATTTCATCTCTAGCCTTCTGTTCTATGTCTTCTTATTCAAATTGGGACTTAAATACTGTAACATATTTTGCCCATGTGTCCATCACCTTTGCATTTGCTACTGCACCTTGGTCTGCTTCCAATATATTATAAATTCTTATTACCCATTCTCTAGTTGTGCCAGCTTCAGCCATGAATGATAGGGAGTAAATAATTTTCTGGATATCATTTAGCCCAGTATTCACTATGTAGTACAGATTACAATGTGTTAGATAGTGTCAGACTTGTTCTAGTTTTCTAGTAAACTTCTTGGACTTGTCAAGCTTGACAGTAGGAGTGGATGCAGTAGCTATTGGTGTAGTTACTATGGGAGACAGTAGAGGTGGGGGGTTATTTTCTGATAGTGGGTTTCCTTACAGAACTTGACTATTTGTTGGTACTATTTCAATAGAGTCTGGTACAATTGGGCTAGAGGGTCTGGTATAAGGGATCTGAGTATGGTTTACTCTTTCGTGATCAAGTACAGCTTAATTAAATTCAGCTAGATGGTTACTATGATTAGTAAGGTCAATTACTCGAAGGTAATTTTGGTATTGATCAAACTGGTGTCCTTGCGATCAATTGCTAGAGTTCTAGGCTTTTCACTTATCAACAGAAAGAATAGTAGTTTGTTTAGGTGCTGTTGTTGTTACTGGAGTAGCCTGTTCAGTGTCAACTGGGTCTATGTCAATGGAGTCACTATCTTCAGAGTCCGAGCTTCTTGATAGTCAGAAGCAGTTGCTTCTACTTGGTTGGTTTCTAGAAGCTGTTGTGTTTCTTTATCAGCACTTACACTAATAATAAGTAGGTGCAAAGATTTAACTTTGACCTAATGTTAAGGTACGAGCTTAATGTGACTTGTTCTTGTAACTATAACTATGGACTTCAATTAAGTAATCTTAATGACTAAGACTTGATTACTAGCAAGGCTTAGTATTGAGCTGAGACTGAGTACTCAGAAGACTGTGAGGATGCTTAACAAGTCTATTGCTAAGATCAAAAGTATACAGGAGGTTAAAGTTAAAGACTCGACCTTAGCTAAAGTACATTCTTTAATACAACTACCTCCATCTGATGAATGCAAGAGTATCATCCAGATATGAGAAGTAATCATAGAGAAATAGTAGAGAAACAATGGAGGAACTTAGGTGAAACTATGAGAAAAGTATGTGAGAAGATTCAAGGAGAAACTATAGAGAAACTAGCTATTAGTACAATGTTGTCATTACGCAGAAATCCCCTAATACTAAATAGTCCACAATAACTCTATATTATATAAGAAAAGGAAAAAAAGAAAAGATAACCATGCACTTTGTAACAGCGCATTCACAACTTTACAACAATTTCTCTCAACAATTGGCACTAGCCTCAAGTCATTCACAATTGATTTATGTTTTATAGACAGATTAGTAAATGTATCCTGTAGGTTGTTCCTGATTTATTCATCATTGAAACTATTCTAACCATCTTTTCTAAGACTTCCAATAGCCTTGGGAGGGATTCATACTTCTACCTAATCTCACTTTAGAACATCTAGCTATACACACCTATATGGATGTTTCAATTGAGAATCTGACCTATGGATCTATCTTAATATTCTCCAAAATGATCTCCTTTGTCAATAGTGAAGCTACGAGGACTTTATTACACACTCTGATGTTCATATTTCTGTCGAGGATAGAAGAAGATCAAATCCAGCTTCATACCATATTGGATGCATATGATTGGAGGGGTCTAGCAGATGTGTTAGGGTAAAGGAGGGCCCTAAAGAATGTTATCATTTATATCAAAATTCTTTATTCTGTCTCTGTTATCTATGACAATATCAGACCTCCTGTATTTGCCAGGTTCTTGCAGGAGCTGATAAAATCAAAGTTCAACAATTGGGGAGACAGACTGTTATGCAATTTGTTCCCACCACATTCTATACATAGATCTTCATAGCAAATATCAACACTAAGCACCATCTTTGTATCATTAGTTTTTTTGCTCCTGTTGTATGTATAGAATTTATCTTTCAGTTCAGTCTGGCTGAAAATGATGGTGACCATCGCAATTTACCAAACATTCTCTGAGTTTGAAATCGATTCAAGTTATAATTTTTTGCTGATTCGTTTCCAATGTAATATCAACCAGTATATAAGCACTGCTTGCATGGCTCAGCTGGTTAGAGCGCAGGTCTCATATCTTGATATGACCGTTGAAATTCAATGGGTAATCCTGAGGTCGTGAGTTCGAACCTCACTGCGAGCAATCACCAACCGCTCTTCCACTTTTTTGTTTCGAAGGAGGATTTTTGAGGCGTAAAGTTTGTTTTCATTGAAGAATTGTATTCGAAGATTGATACTTAGTCAGTTATGGATTTCACACGATTTTTGAAGAGTCGCGTCCACACGTGACACAATGTCACATGTTCAGTTTGATCAAATCCAAATTGGTTCCTTGGACATTGCCATGCCTTGTTCTTGTTCTCGCACTGTTCGTCAGATTTTTCACGCCAGGTTCTGAGAACTCGTCTATCCTTGTATAATGTTTGAACCTATTCGCGGTGGTACAAGAGGAGGACAAGCCGAATTCAAATGGTCTGATGTTTCAGCAGATAAAGACCGAGAGGTATGTAATCCATCCATCTCACATTCTTCTCCAACACGAACACAGCCAGCTCACCAAAACCAAACATCATCCATCATATAACAACATTTTTAGAACTATCTCGGTCATAGTATAAACGCACCCACTGGAAGATGGCAAAAGAACAAAGATGTTCATTGGTATTCTAGAGATAAGAATACAGACGAAGAGGCAAGGCTGGAAGAAATTAGAAGGGTTAAAGAGGCAGAAGCGGAGGCTTTAGCTGCTGCATTGTGAGTCTTCTGTCGATTCGGTTTTGTTTGGAACATCCTTGTCTTAACTTCGTATTTCTATCCCTATTCCTATTCGCCTTATCGTCCTTCTTGTTCTTCTAGAGGTTTCGCACCAACGAAGAAAGCCGAAGGAAGTACTTCCACTTCCACTGCGGCTGCCGACGCTACCAAGGAAGGGGATGTCCAGTCTACCACGCAAGCCAAGCCTAGCTCTGAAGAAATTCAAAGAGCACTTGAGAAAGAAGAAAAGCGTCGAAGAAAACAAGAACGAAAAGAGGAAAAACGAGCAAAGAAAGAGAAGCGTCGTGCCGAACGTGCAAAATCAAGTCATAACGATTATTCTGATCCTGAAGACGACCGACGTGACGATGAACATTATCACCATAGACACCACCATCATCATCATCCTCAGCATCATAGTTCGAGACTACATTCACGCTCGAGATCTCCACCTCCTCCTCGTAGAGACCATTCAATAACGAAACCGAATGATGGTGATAGGTATAGGTCACGTATCCGAGAACGAAATAGTCGGTCAAGATCACCACCACCAAGAAGATCTCGTAGCGACCTTCCTCCTTCGAATAGTACTCGAGGAGATTATGACGAAGATGAAAGGGAAAGAGAGCGTCAGAATGCTCGTAGGCGATGGGATAGTGATTCCATTAGAGACCAACCAGGGTCTTCTAACTGGGGACGACGTTGAACGTTGAGATTTCGAAGCGACATACATGCATGCACGTATGCATGCAGCTAACCTAGGGGTTGCTATTTCTTCTTCCTCAAACTTCTGGCCAAGATTCGGATTTTGTGCTTCATATCCGGATACCGAGATGACCGTGAGCAATACCATTCACATTTCTCTCTCCCCATCCCATCATCCAATCCCCCCTACCCACCCTCCCGCTTTTTTGCATATTATTGATTTTACGTGTTGTGTTTCATGTTTACAGTCATTTGTAATAATAATACTTTTTTATTTGGAATTTCGAACCGCTATGCAAGTTTGAGCTGTCACCGACGCTCGCACGATTGGTTGCCTTTTGTTTCATTTCCGCCTCCTCGAGACTCAACATTATACATCATGCATCATGCATGGTAAGCTCAGAAGATTCCCAACCCATCCAATCTTCAAATTTGTTCACACTCACTCGGAGATTGCGGCGTAGAAGGGTTTTGAGGGTGTAAGTACGTATATACTAAGGGTCCTCGGGCTGACAGTGCGTATGACGGATCGTATTATCGTATATCATATTCGAACCTTGGAAACTTCCGAATCTCAAGTTTAAGGATACCTTCGAATTCAATACATACGTATACATGGTAAGTCTCATGTTTTTTCTAGTTCAACTTCTTCTCGTCGGTTGGTTGGGTTGAACGTGGTCTGCCTTGCTGTTTCGATGTTTTCAGGATACGTACGGATATGGCGTGGCATACCGACTTCAGGATTCAGGATTCAGGAAGTTGTTGTTCTGGCTGGTACGTACTATTTCACTGTGCTCACTCAGACAGACTGGTTCTTTGTTTCTTCGATTGTCAATGATGGTTTTGATTCTGTTATTAACTCATGGACATCGACTGCATGATGTTGCAGTCGCATCAAGTGTTATTTTTCCTGAGTTTCCGACTACCCACTGACTTTTTCTTTTCTTTTTTTCTGATTCTTTTGTTGTTAAATGTTATTGGTGCCAGTGAACGTTCAACCGCGGCTTCAATGATTTTCTAAATGATACATGATGCAATCTTCAGGGTTCAAGAAGAAACATAGGCATAGACATCTCTCTGATATCTACCAGGGTACGTACTTCGTATTCGTATTGTACGACCTGCTCATGGTTCTAGCTTCGACATCGACAGGTAAGGTAACGGCGACAATACCGTTCCCCGAACCTCACACTACTATTCGAATGTGATTCGTGAAGAACATTGACACCACATCCGGGACTCAGGCGTTGGGTTCCGGAGAGCAAATGCAATGTAGTCGTAGTCAAAAAGGTCCGTCTGCTTCACCTCATCATCACACTGATAAAAATTAAACTCACATACACATTTTCAAGTTAGTAACCCTGTCTGTCCGATTCAAGAATCAACGTTAATAATAATCAACGCTCTACATAGTACTCGTGTACTTAACTCTCTATGCCTGGGTACTATTTTTTTTCGTTTCCGGTGAAAACGTATAAGTACTGACGCAATTCCCGTATGCCCGGACTTGAAGAATATTTAGACATTCCGACTCGGTTTTCCTTCAACGTGCTGTGTTAGTTACTGTGTAAATTGGCACAGAGTTAACATGCACGTGCATCGCGCCACTAAGCATTGGAATTTTAAAACACTAGCAATGGCATAGATTCGGACAGCTTGTGAAAGTATGTCCATACCCCTCTGCGTCGGAGTTTCGAAGTACATATGAACAAAAATAAATACTCACACCATTGAACACATGTATGTATAGGATTGATTTTAAGATTTGTGATTTTTTTTTTCAATTGAAATGAACTTAAGACTCTAGGCTAGTACTACTGTCAGGACTCGAGTACCCACGACTCACGACAGGTGGAAGATGGGAGAAGAGCGGTCAAAACTGCACTGCGCCAAGCCTACTGCATGGCAGATATATTGTCAACCGTTACTAACGCGTCAGCTTGACTTGAGTAGTTTACTTCAATGCAAACTGTCACTTGTCACTGTCAAACTATACAATAACCAATATTGTTATCAATATCATCATGGCCGCCATGAGTATGTAGATAGATACTAAACACTTGATCTAAGTTGATACAAATGATCTTTCAGCAGCAGCGGAATGAAAAGATTCAGAGTTGTTACTTGTTCCGAGTCGGTATTGAATTGTAGTTATGTATAATCAATAATCTAAGGGAAGACGGGAAAAAAGGGACCTGAAACTAGTGCGGACTAGTTAAATTATAATTAGGTTCCCAGTGTAAGTAACAGTATTCCAGCGTTTGCGTTAGTGGGTCCAGCTTTGTGGCACTGAATACACTTGTGTATACCCAAACGGTTTAGCATGTATGTAGGGTAAGTATGGTGCCTATCTATTTCAACTTTCAAGTCGTATTTTTGGTTCAGATGCGTTAGAGTTAGTATAAAGTTGTCAAGGTTCCGAACGAGGAATTTGAGGGTGGTGATATTGGTTGTTTAGTCTGCATTACTTCGCCATTTGAATTTTGGGCAATTTGCTTTTGAAACAATTTCCATTGAGATGATGTGTACGAGTACATATAACTCTAAGGGCGGCGGCGTGATTATGTGTGCGAGATTTATGCATCGTGCAAACAAGGAAGAAGAAATGAAGGGTCTGGTTCGCGGTGGCCGTTGGAGTTGTTCTTATTTAAAATAAAGAGCTCGAGGAGGGTGTTTACGAAACAGGTCCTTTTTAAATAACTGGGATATGTTTCAAGCTTCAATAGGTATGGAACTAGACTGGTCACTGTCGGGATTGGGTGAAAGGATCGTCAGGTCGTCAGAGAAGGATGTATACAAATCCCGAGTATTCGGATTGGTTACGAGTCCCGCGCCGTGTTGCGGGTTTACCGGGGTCGAGACCTCTTTCCTCGGGGCGCTCGTCTGGTAGCCTCGTTTTCCGATCGCACAGAAAACCACCAAGCCAAGCCAATTCCCGCCTAGGAACATGGTGTAAATGTCGGCCCGGAATAGCGCTCCCGACGTTGTCTACTTTGGTAACCAAGTCGTTGCGCAACTCAATTTGTATCGACCGGGGGTTGTTGCTGCGAAAAAAAATTGTGTAGTTAGAACGGTCACGGTTGTTATGTTGATGGATGGAGCGCATAAAGAGGGCGGTAGGGCTACGTGTCGTGCGTTGAGAGCGTCGAGTGTTTGTAACGCGTTTCAAGGGCTCGAGGGTGGAGTCGGGAGGTACGTTGAAGACTGTGGGTCCGTTCTCTCTCCCCGTGTTTTGCTTGCATGATCGATGGATGGCTCGGAGCGCCCCCACGCCGTCCGCTTTGAGGATCCGTGGCTGCTATCGATGGATTGTTTCTGCCAATTTCATCACCAATTCGTCCTTTTGGGTATGATGAGACGTTTAAAAGGGAGATGAACCATTTAGGCAATTGAAACAACGTTTGTTTTGAGTTTTACAGCGAACACGATGCAGCAGCTGCATTTGGAATAGAATAGGAAAAAACAATAACTCGTCTGCCAGTTTGAATACAACACGCCCGTCTTCGAAACAAAGACAGGAAGACCCTGCGACTACGGGTGAGTGGTCGCCAGTCGTTTGTCGTTGTTCCCAGTCAGGATCTGGATCTTGTGCTTAGCGAGGAAGAAGATCTGAATCCTCGGCGTGCGTGAACTGAATTGGCAGGGGCGATGCCTCACCACTGCGGTCGTATTTCCAAATCAGGC